AAAAAAATGTATGCAGAATACTAAGCAACCGATGCATCATTTCAGATCACTGCTCCAGATTTTGAGATACAGTACATAATTTAAACATTTACTGTCTCAAGAACGTGTGTTGAATTACTGGACCCACAAGTATTTCAGTAAGAAACACAGATGCATTGCATTTTAGCTCATTTGTGAGTCTCTGCTCTCGTCTGATCTTAGATCAGAACTTGGGTCTGAATGTTTGACATTTGGATTCCCATTGGTTCTCCGCATCTTTCAGTTACAGATCTTCTCTGTCATTTCTTTCTGTGAAGACAGAAAGGACAAAGTTATTAGGATGTACGTCACAAGCATTTGCAATGTGCTGTCAGCATCTAGTTGTTCATAGTTAGCTAAAGCAGAGTGCAATCTGCTAACTGCCACTATCATAATTTATTGTTTTGTGTCTAATAACAGTAACACAGTCGCAACGTACACACTTTAGTTAAAATCGGTTGTCAATTCACTTTTCAGTGCTTATTACTGTTCTGTTCACACACAGTTCAGTAATTTACGGGAGTGACATCTGAATTCTACAACCGAATGAACACCCGAAAAAGTGACAACCGCATTTACAGAAATTCTACACAGCATGTGCACAACCGAAGTGTACAATTAGTTGTTAATGATGTATTTAAATGCATTGAATATCAGTGTTTTGTCATTACTGTATGTGCGATGAAAGAAATGATAGGGAACGTTTTGACTCGTAGTGGTGTCAGATCTTGCTAGAAAAAAAAAATAAAAATAAAAATAATTCTTAGTTTAAAGAAAAAATTCTTTAAACTAAGCCACATACCAAAATATAGTGACCTGCACCTGCTACTTTATTAACTCCGTAAACTGGATCGCTCTATGAGCCAAGCCCAATGATGCTTTATTAGGGTCGCTTATAATAAGTGTACATGGCAACACTTCCAGAGCGAGCTCTGCAAAGTAGCCTTCCAAAACATAAACAAAATACAATGGCTCTTTTGTTGGTGGTTTAGTTAAAAACACTGAACATAACGAGTCTTCAGCTAAACCACCGTCAACCGAGCTGTCGTGTTTTGATTATGTTGGAAGGCTGCTTCGCAGAGCAGGGGCCTGTTTCATAAAACAAGTTTACCAAACAAGCCAGGCTTATTTCAGTTAGTCTGACTTATTTTGAACCACATCAACTGACAATAAGTCAGACTAACGGAAATAAACCTGGCTTGTTTGGTAAACTTATTTTATGAAACAGGTCAGGTTGCCATGTCTACTCATTATAAGCAATGCTTATTAAGGCCCAATCCCAATTCTATTTTATACCCCTTCCCCTACCCCTCCGCCTACCCCTTTCCCTTGTCCCTTGAAACAGAGTGTCAAGGGGTAGGAGTGAAAATATTCCCCTAAGATTTGGGACACCACTACTATGCCGTCACACGTCATCATACGTCAATACATACACCTATGCTGGTGTGAATTAGAGCCTTTAATTATCGTTCTATATTAATGCACACACACACACACATATCGGAGATCGCGCAGCTCATACATCCAGGAGCAAAGATGCTTGTCAACGCTGCCCCACGACTTTTATTAATAACAGTTTAAATACAGAATTGCTACATTATATTTTCCAGCTACAAGAGGATAAAATCGCTGTTTTTGGAAGTAAACTCACTCTAAAAAGTGAAACGCACAGACGCGCATACACGCAACTTTCATCTCACTCTCTCTCGGTCTCTCCCTCTCTCTCTCTCTCTTGAATTGGCAATATTTGAAAAAATGGTTTAGCGATTTATAATTATTAGGGGGACTAGCCCCCCTCAATGTCTATGGTGGTTATCGCCCTGATCAGACATGAAAATATGTTGTGGCACTATCGTGCAGTCTATAATATGACATTAGCAAACTTTAGCGATTTTTTGCAAACATTTCTTTGAGTAACATGACCGTAAATATGAACTCACGATTGAAAGTAACATAAAACAAATAATTACTTTTCGTTAAAATCTTTTATTAATGCCCAAAAATGCTTACATTTATGTGTCTTTTTGTGCGCTCGGGCAGCCATGTTGCCCCTGAAGCCGGTTTACGCTGAGATAATTCATACCCCTTCGTTTGAAGTGTGGTCCCGAAAAATCTTCGTTTGAAGGGCTATCTGGCCCTACTCCTTACCCCTACCCCTCCAACCAAAAGAGAACTGAGACACCCCTACCCCTTCATGTGAACGCGCGAAACGGAGGGGTAAGGGAAAGGGGAAGAGCTAAGGGGTAGAATTGAGATTGGGCCTAAGTGTTTTAGGCCTTGTTGTTTTGGCTCAGCTCATTTTTTTAGAGATAACAATGTAGGCAGGTGTAGGTCATGATATTTTGGTATGTGCTTATTTACAAGATAACACTGGCAACACAGAGTCAAGCTGTACCTCCTTCCCTGTGATTACTTGCACCGCAACTCTGATATGCATTTAAATACATCAAGTTCGGTTCTGTACACATTGCATAGAATTTTTGTAAATGCGGTTGCCACTACCTGACTTTTTCTGCAGTCAAACTTTTTTTAATTGTCACTCTCGTAAATTACTGAACCGTCCGTGTACAGAACAGGATTAAGCACTAAAAGGTGAAGATAAAGCTGCATTTAGCTGCAGTGTGTATGTGGCCACAGTTATGAAAGCACAGCGCTCTCACAAGAGGCTCCAGCTCCGAGTGGTCGATGAGGCTGAACTCAGAGATGAAGTAGTAGTAGTGTTTGTAGCAGGTGTTGATGTGGGCCTCAGCTCCCATACTACAGATCATGTCAAAGTGATGGATGTACACGTGTACAAACACTCGAAACAAGCGGCTCAGTATCTTCTTGCACACCTGCTGAAAGTTCTTTGGAAAAGGGACTCCTAAAAACAGAAGAAAACCAGCATCACACTCAAATCACATCACATTCACGATGCTGTATGATTTTCTTCCATGAGAAAATTCAAATGCTATTTTAAGATAAAAAGCACATAGAGTATGTCTCGAGGGTTTTCGGCCAATAGTTCAGTCTGTGGAATTATGAATTGTTGGCAGTGCTTCTAAGTATAGCTTCTGTAACTCTATCCAGTAATATTTTTTCAGACAGAAGTATGTGTCTGGTGATCCCTGGCCCCACAAATTATACGGCAATTCCTGAGAAACGTAACTGGATCATTTCTCTAGCCAGTTACCCGTTCATATTTCTGTGTCTGACTGTTTTTGTCTTATTTCCATAATTTGTACATCTCTGCTCATTTATTAATATACTAAGCTTTTCATAGCGATTTACTAAATGAGCTTAAAGGTCAATGACAAATAGGAGTGTCCACAAAAGGAGTAATGCATATGTGTTAAGTTCTTAGAAATGTGCTCTTTGTATTCATGTTGGTTTTCATTATGTGATAACCATCACATAAAATGTAATAACATATTTTCCTTATACCGTAAATACTTGTGATTTAAATAATTATTTTCAAAAATGTTTTTAAATATATATCTATATATCTATATATATATATATCTATATATATATATATATATATATATAATAAGGTATTTTTTAAAAATGTCATTATTAATTCATAAAAATATTACATTTTATTTATTGAAAAGGATAAATTATCTGATATTTGTAAGTAAATATATCTGATAACTGTAACTTAAATGAACCTTAAAAAGCTCAACTTAAAAAAAAAAATAATAATAATAATTTGTTACTTGAAATAAAATAAATGTTTACAGAAATGTAAAAAAATTAAAAAAGAAAAAAAAAAGTCCTATTTCAGGTAGTTGCCTTTTTTTTTTAAACTACTTAAAATGATAAAACTTAAGCTAAAATGAAAAATATAAAAATAAAAACTGATTCTAAATATTAATAAAAACTATAATATAACACTGTTCTTGAGCTTGAGACAGTCAGCAGGTGTCTCCCAATTTCCTGTTTTATTAACTGTTTTTTGCACTACGTGACTTGAAGGTTTTTCAAATATTAATAAGCAGTGAAGCAGTTTTGTTAAAATATTTTTTCTAAGAAATAACAATAAAAGATAAAGATTTTTAAAAAGAGTTTAAAGAGTTTCCTCTTTTTAATAAAGCATGTTTCTATATTATGATATTAAAACCGTTATCCCACACTGACATAATTTTAACTTTTAACATAATTTAAAAAAATAAAAATAAAAATTTGGAAATGAACAAAAGTAAATGAGCCCTATCACAGTGATTTGATTTGTCTGGAAAACATATCTGACGTCACGCACCTACTCGTGTAGGAAAGATGTCCTCATTGTTGATGAGGGACTCGATCCAGTTCATCAGGAGGTTCATGTATATAAGAGCAGGCAGTTTGGTGGGCCTCTTGTACTGATCCCCATCCTGCCACCTGTATTCATAACGTGGCCCTCCAGACATGATGGGACAGCTCTTCTCAGTGCAGAACTCGCTCACGGTCCCGTAGATGAGGTTTATTCGATTGAAGAAATCCACCACATGCACAGCTATCCAGTCATTAATGTTCTCCCCGTCCGGCAGCTGCACCACTTTCCTCAGGTCCAGGCCTGATTTCAGAGACGCTTGGGCTCTTTTGTACAGCTCAAAGCGCTGGGTTCCAGGTTCAAATCGCTTTCGAGGCCGGAATGTTTTGTCTTTGCTGAAAACCTGCCCCAAGCACAGAGCCATTGCTGAACTGAGCAGGGTGACAGAGTCGTCAGATCCAATCAGGATCTGGAAGATTGTGATTTTTCACTCGTATGATTCCCAGGGCCCTCGTCACAGCCAATAGGGAGTTTCTAGAGAGCAGAAAAATATATAAATGTATATTTGAATAAATTAAATATATATATATATATATATATATATACTTATAAAATATACTGATATTACACACACATTATATATATATATATATATATATATATATATATATAATAATACATTTAATGAATGATGTGCTGATTAGACTGGGGGTTTATGCAACTGGGAAACTGCAGTGGATAACATTTATGACAATAACCAAGACACATATGTGATAAATAATTAAGATTTATAGCTGTGCTGAGATTCTGACAGTTTATATAAACAGTAAAATTGTGAAATATTATATTATTATTTAAAAGAACTGGTTTCTGTTTTCATATATTTTAAAATGCCATTTCTTCCTGTGACGCAAAGCTGAATTTTCAAATTTAATATGGCATTAATAGCTGAAATCCTGGTCATATATATGAATGGTAATATTGTGAAATATTATTACTAGTTAAAAGAACTGGTTTCTGTTTTCATATATTTTCAAATGTAATTTATTCATGTGATGCAAAGCTGAAATTTCAGCTTTCAAGTAAGATTGTTCAAGAAACATTTCTAATTATTATCAGTGATGAAAACAGTTTTAAGGAGTAATGTTTTTAACTATTTTTTAAGGATTCTTTATTAAATAGAACATCATTTACTTGAACTAGAGATCTTATAACATTATGAAAGTTTTTACTTTTTTTACTGTCACTTTTGATCAGCTGAATGCATCCTTACTGAATAAAAAATAAATAAATACTGACCCCAAAATTTTGAATGATATAGTGCAAGTAAACTCCATTAACAGACCACCACAAACAAACATTTCTTCCTCTCTATGCATTCAGTTTCCCTTTGTGTTGTCTTATCCACATCACCATTTTCATAACTTCCCGTGTTTGTTCGAAGTGGCTGAAATGAGATCCATTCTTCTGTGGATTTCAGAGCTATTCAGCCCTACACTCAAACCCTGACTTTAACGTTCTAGCAGTGTATCTGTGTTTGAGTCCATCCTTTCTTTGTCTCTTTGATAAGTACTGTTTTTGTTCGTTTTTCCTGTTTTTTGTTTCTCAAACACGATCAGTTTTACCAGGGATGAGCTGCTGAACATTCGGCAGAACACACCACACAATCTTCTACCGGATTTCGTTTATTCGGACGTTTTGCTGAACGTTGTAGTTGGCGGAGCTGCTGCGCTGATCAAGCACTTCGGGACACGCAGACGGGGGAAGCGAGCCGGCGTGCTCGTGAAGCTCAGGAAG